GAGAGAGAGAGAGAGAGAGAGAGAGAGAGAGAGAGAGAGAGAGAGAGAGAGAGAGAGAGAGAGAGAGAGAGAAAGAGAAAGAGAGGTTTACATTCTTTCTGTATGGGTAAATTGCAATAGGATGTGGAGAGAAACTACTTTGAATTTCCCAAGATAAAGAAACAACCTGGATACTGCCCTCCCATCTGGATCCACCCCGTTTCTGTCTCTCCTTAGATAATGAACAGGCTTCTATGGGCTAATAATAAAATAAAAGAAGATAAAACAAAAACTAACACATCTGAATTGGACAAAACAAACAGGTGGAAAAGAGACCAAGAGAAGGAACTATTCATTTGCACACCTGGAATCCCATTAAAAAATGCTAAACTGAAAGCCATAATATATATGCAAAAGACCTGTAGAGTAATACAAGAGAAAAAATATAAATAAAATAAAATAAAAAATAAGGTACAATTTAAAAAAAAAAGAAGAAAAAGAAAATGAAAAAAGATCCCTAACATAACATTAGCAAAGGCGGTGGTGGTGCACGCCTTTAAACCCAGCACTTGGGAGGCAGAGCCAGGCGGATCTCTGTGAGCTCCAGGCCAGCCTGGGCTACAGAGTGAGTTCCAGGAAAAGTGCAAAGCTACACAGAGAAACCTTGTCTCCAAAACCAAACCAAACCAAACCAAACCAAACCAAACCAAACCAAACCAAACCAAACCAACCCCCCAAAAAACAATAAACAAACAAACAAAACCCCAAGGGACCTCAAAAGACACCGTGGAGTTCATTTTTTGTTGGACAAGCAGCCTACTGTTAAGAGTAATTTTTCCCCCAGTGAGGCTCCCTTGGAGGAAATTAAAATTTATGTTCAAGTGGTTCTCAATTGGAGATAGTTTCTGGGTTAGGAATGGGGACATGTGTCCCCTTCTCCTTTCAGCTCTAGGACCCCATCTGGTGCAGGCCTGTGTAGGCCCTGTGCATGCTGCCTCAGTCTGTGAGTTTGTGTGTGCACTGATCATGCTAATTAAGAGGACCTTGTTTCCTTGGTGTCCTCCATCTCCTTTGGTTCTTACACTCTTTCTGCCTCCTCTTCCTCAGGGTTTTCTGAGCCTTGAGTGGAGGGATTTGATGGAGACATACTATTTAGGGCTGAGTGTTCCAAAGTCTCTTACTCTCTGCATTAATATTTGGTTATAGGTCTGTGTATTTGTTCCCATCTGCTGCAGGAGGAAGCTTCCCTGATGATGATGGATGGGCAAGACACTGATCTATGAGTATAGCAGATGTCGTTAGGAGTCATTTTATTTCTCCTTTAAAATATTCAGAACAGCATTTGGTTTTATCCTAGGCCCCTGGGCAATACAGTCTCTGGTTCTTGTTTACCCAAGCAGTGTTGGGTAGGGGTTGCATCTTGTCAATTGTGTCTTCTGTCAAATCAGACATTGGTTGGTGACCCCACAGGCTTTGTACCACTATTGCACTAGCACATTGTCCAGGCAGACAGAATTATAGATAAATGCCAAGTGGCTGGGTTGGCATTTAATGCTTCTCCTTTGGCAGTATGCAGAGTACCTCCTTGTACCGGAGACATTAGCATGTAGGAGTGAATAACCTTCCCTTTCTTACTCTCAGTTCTCCTTTATTTATATCCTGTCTTTGTTTTTCCTATCTCATATTCTCTGTCTACCATGGTTTCCTTGCTGACTATTTCAACTTTGATATATCTGAGGAAGTACATGAAATTTGGAGTAAAACATTTTTTAGCTGCATAACTTGAATTAATTCCTACAAATCTTTCTTCTTGAAATGGTACAATAATTCCAGAATGACATTTGGCTTCAGACATACCTTGGCACTAGCAGCAAGTTATCACTCTATGGGTGTGGTATCAGGTACTAGGGTGTTGGGTGTGGTATCAGGTACCAGGGTGTTGGGTGTGGTAGCAGGTACCAGGGTGTTGGATGTGATAGTAGTACCATGGTGTTGGGTGTGGTAGAGGTACCATGGTGTTGGGTGTGGTATCAGGTACCATGGTGTTGGGTGTGGT